CCCCAAAACCCCAAAACCCCAAAACCCCAAAACCCCTATTTTTATCTCATTAATTGAAATATCTCTGAATTATTTCCCTCAAATTTTATCTTGCCAAGAGCAAGGATTTATACTAGTACCTGGAAGTTTTGTGGTAGCTCTCTCTCAGAAAAGTCATCTTGCCTTGCTTTTTATACGGGATTCACTTCTGCCCAATAGAATACTGACTCTTAAAGAATGGAATTTGAATATCATTGGGAATACTATCTGCGATATCCTGAAGAGAACTGGTATCAAGATGATCTTGGCTCTCATCCACAGTTGACTGAAGCCTTGGCCTGAACTTCCTCAACTGGTTGATCCTTGGGAAAGAAGTTTTTGATTTGAGAGGTAAACCAGGATTTCGTGAGACTCTCTCTTTCCCGGGATCAAAATTTATCACATTTAAAATACTATTTGGCTTCTTAGACTCTGCTTGGGTCTTAAGGCGATATGGCTTCTTTAGAGGTTTCATCCTTGTTACTTTAGAAGACTTCCATGTATTTATCTGAGGGCTGAACACCATTTTGCTTTCTATACCTTCTAAACACTTATCCAAATTCTGGAATTTTAGATCTTTTCTTTGATTTCTCTGGCTAGCTAAAGGTAGCACAGTTGGTTTTAATAAATCTATAGATAAGCCAAAGTTCTTACTATTACTCTTAGCCTTTACAAACCCACTGGTTTTATATGGTCTTTTCTTTACAGTACTCTTACAGACCCTTCTATCAGCATCTTCTGAATTTAATGAACTCACAGAGCCTATGGTTTCCTTTCTACTTGGAACCTTAATTACTTTCACCCTTCACATAGAAGGATTCCCTGGCTGAGGAGATCTGAACCTCTGTGGTGCCTGAGGAGAAAGTCAGTTATTACGCATAATTTCTGGAATAGATTCCTTATCTTCTTCTTCAGCATTTCTCCCTTGGATTGAACTTGTCTTTCTTAGATTAATGTTTCGACTAGATCTTCTTATAATTGTCATTCTCTATATGAAGATAGTTAAGAGATGGTTATCCAGGGATTATTTTTGGAGTAAGTTCCTTACTCTGATATCTTCATCCCCGATAGTAACTTCCTCAAGGACACTCTTAGTAGAAGATTTAAATGGTTTGTAATCATTTTGATCTAAAGTATATCCTGCAACAAGGCTAAATTTCTTGTTCTTCTTGTTCATTTTGAGTTGGCCTAGCTTTTTCTTCACGAAGATCTTATCAACAGCTCTGTTCAATTTCTTCTTAGCCTTACTTGGCTTAACTTCTTCATCTGAATCAATGTCTTCTTCATCTTGCTAGAAAGATTGTTTAGGGAGACTTACTTCTTTATTATCTAAATTTGGTTAAGAAGAGGAGGCTTACTTTCATCAGGAATTGAAGCTTTCTTCTCTTCTTTACCGTTATCGCTTGATTTATCTGACTCATCTATATCTTCACCTGCTTCAGATGCAATCATTTCATAACTCTGGGGTATACTGATGTGGTGAGTTCTGAAGAGGGCTAGTAATCTTTGCACATAGAAATTAAATTTTGTCTTCACGGTCTTAATCATTGGACTTGAGTTAAGTTTGATTCTTTTCAAGAACTCACTCCTATCAATCTTCTGGACAGATCCAACTCTCGAGTGACATTCAACTGTTGTAAAGGCAAAAGGGCAGTTAAATTTAATTTCCATAATTCCTGCACACTCTTCTTTGCCAATAATGGAAAGCCTAAAGGTTTTCTTTTTCATGACTTTTGATTCACTCACAAACTTATATTTGTCCCTTAATTCCTCAGTATACGCAATCCTGTTCCTTCCAAGTAGCTTATTTCAAGGCATGTAGCTTGGTAGTAGAGAATACTCTGAGGAAAAAGCCATCAACTATGTCAACTTTCTTATTGAAGTATACTGTCTTTTGGACTTCAAACTCACCTTCTTCGATAAGGTAGATATACTTCAGATCTTCTCCTTCTGTTGTAAGCCTTTGGCCTGATTTTCATTCCACCCTCTTCATTAGGAGGGAAAGCTTTTCCTTTGCGATTTTAGTAAGATTTTGGATAAATGGAAAATTATTTAGGAAATTCACCTTTGCTGCAAATTTATTCTTTAATGATTTCTCCATAACTCTCTTAAAATCAACCTTCTCAAGGATTGCGAAATGAGTATCCTCAAGAGTAATGATAGTTGCACTCCTTGGTTTGTCATTTAAAAGTGCCAGCTCTCCGAACGCAGCCCCATTGCTAGCTGTAGTAATAGGATTTAAGAAGTTGAAAGTGAATGGTTTAGAAATTTCAACCCATTTTCCTTCATCGTCCTTCTCTTTAAACGATGGGAAAACTCCGTTATGCTTCTGAAGAGCCTTTTTATCAAAATCTCCATATAGAATATTCTCTGCTACCGAAGGAATAAATGCATACTTATTTGCTCTTCTTAAATCACTCAGGGAAGTAAACGTAAATGATCTCTAATAATTTATTGCTCTTCTCATTATTTTATTATGAACTCATGATTTTTATGGATATATATCATCAACTCTTTGAATGTGAACTCCATATTTACCACATTCGGTACTCTATAACAGAAAGTTAGTAATGAGAGGAGGCATACCTGATTTCTACCTTGCCTTTGACAATAATATAATAAGTTGTTCCAAAATCTCCGAACCTCATGACATATTTGCCTTTATTAATTTTCTGGTATTTTATAGCCTTCAAGATCATTTCTGACCAGGCTTCTCCATTTTCCTTCTCTTGTTCCTTGAAAAACTTGTTCTCTTTGAAGTATTCTCTCAGATCTCTTATGTTCTGCTCCGATCTTTCAGAGGCAGGCTTTTTTAGAATAATCTCCATTTAATTTTATAGACAGGAATTATTAGTTATTCAAGAATTTTTCTTAATAAAGGGGTTTTGGGGTTTTGGGGTTTTGGGGTTTTGGGG